AAAGATGTGTTTATGTTGTTTTCTTGTTTTGTTTTGTAATGCGTCTTTGAAAAACGGATTTCAATTTTCCGAAACTGAATGCAACGTCAGTTGTCCCATTATCGCGTTTCTCTTCCAAAGAAAATGGTTTTTATCATCCGATTGAGGGACATTTCTGTATGTACGTAGGTTGGACGGCTCTGTTTACACAAGATGTGATCGAGCGAAGAAATCGAGTTTGTATAAAGCACAAAACTTGCAACTTTACACTGGTGACAACAAACAATTTCTTTTTCTTTTATTCAATCTAGTTTCTTGATTTTTCCAACTTCTCGATAGATTCACTTTTGATTTGTTCTAAGAAAAAAACAAACAACCGCCAGTTTCTTTAGAGCCGTTGATGATTGATGTCAGTCTTTTGCCGATTTAGACTCCGCCCCCTTCTATAGTCCCACTTTGGTACAGTCAGCCCCCCCCCCCCACTAATGTAACTTCAACCTACACCTCCCACCCTTAAGCGAGTTTTCTTTTTTAAAACAGGTAATTATGTCTTACATACGGTCAAGATAAGGTATATTAATCAATTTTTGTTACAAATTTATACGCAAACTTAGTGGGAAATAACTTCGAAAATTCAGTTTTAAAAATTATTTAAAGGTTTTACGTAGTATTTTTAAACCGCCCCCCCCTCCCCCCGTCATAACATATCGTAACAAAATACGAATCCTCTCAAGACGATCCCTTTATGGACAAGCAGCTATGAGTAAGAAAAAATTGATAGTTAACAAATTTTAATCACAACAGCTTGTTATAGTTCGAATATTTGGAGTTCTACAACAAGCCTCTGTGTCCGTCGAATTTAACTACTCATCCCAATAACTTCTCTACATATTCTCCAATTAATACATTTATTGTCCTTAACATATCTTTATCTCATTTAGCTCATAGAACTCCGCAGTGAATTCCATCTTTTTATCTCACTTAGCTCATATATCTCCGCAGTGAATTCCAATCATGCTGAATAAAAATAAAACAGACAAATTATGTTTCTCAGTGAGATTTAGGCTGATTGTAATTATTCTGTGAATAGTTTATTTACATACAAACTGGACATTATTGTTTTGAGAATGTATTTTGTCATAGAGGCCAGGCTGTATTTTAAGTCTAAGGGAAGGGAATCGCGTACCTTTTACATCCCTACGTCCAGAACTGCAATGTGTTAACCACACTATCACTTCACATGCCGAGAACACGGAAACAGAAACAGGTGAACTCTGCTTCACCTGCTCCATCAACCCTCAGCTTCGACGGGTAACTGTACTTTCAGAATTACCTAACTTGAAAAAAAAATTTAATCAGCTCAACTAGATTTCTTAAAATTGAAGTTTTTCTCTCTATGAGATCATTTAGTTATCTAGCTTGGTTGTTTAGATCGTGAATAACAAAGCGCCATAGATTTTGTCTCCTAGTGAAACAATTAGGCTGATATCCGCTACTTATTGTGAATAATTTACAACTAAACATCCACAACCAGATGCTGTCGGCTCTGATCAGGTTATGCTAATACAAGTTTCCATAAAACAACGACCTCCCGCGTGATACAACGTCATAGAATATCTCCGTAATGAGTTGCAAGCATTGAATGTTTATTTTGTAACATTAGCATGGCTAATTTAATTTTGGGATGGTCTCATGGTAGTCATCTTTCCGATATAGATACAGTCAAATTCCGGTCCCACACAGTCAACTTTTAGGTCTCACTGCAGTCAACTTTCCGGTCTCACGGCAGTCAACTTTCCGGTCTCACGGTAGCCATCTTTCCGGTCTCACGGTAGCCATCTTTCCTAGTCTCACGACAGTTAACTTTCCGGTCTCACGGCAGTCAACTTTCCTGTCTCACGGCAGTCAACTTTGAATCCCACGGCAGTCAACTTTCCGCTTTCCGGTCTTATAATGGTCAACTTTCCGTCTCACGGCAATCATATTTCCGGTCTCACGACAGTCAACTTTTCTGATCTCACGACACTAACCGTTCCCCATCCTCCAACACTGTATCACACGTCACAAAACGCCAGCCGACTAGTATTACGTCACAAGACTCAACCCCTCCCCCTCACCTCATCAAATACCCATAACTCTGACACTTTTATTTTCCAGAATGACAGAATCTCACATTTCTTAGCTCCCCGCCCCCTCTCCACCCACACGCGCTGCTAGTTGTCGACAATATCTGTCTGTCGCCTCCCCCCCCCCCCCACCTCCATAGACGCTACAACCTTTTTCTACGTGATTTGCACGTTATATTCATGTGCCCCAAATATAAATCACGCAACATATTTTTACAAGCTTGACTGAAGTCAAAACATCTGTTTCTTGCGGGAGCCGGACGTTTTCCCGAAAGACACTTGCCCGAATGCCGTTTGCCCGAAGGCCGATTTCCCGAATGGACACTTGCGACAAATGCCCGAATGGACACTTGCCCGAATGCGACAAACGCCCGAATGGACACTTGCCCGAATGCGACAAATGCCCGAATGGACACTTGCCCGAATGCGACAAACGCCCGAATGGACACTTGCCCGAATGCGACAAATGCCCGAATGGACACTTGCCCGAATGCGACAAATGCCCGAATGGACACTTGCCCGAATGCGACAAATGTCCGAATGCCACTTGCCCGAAAGCCGTTTGCCCGTAGTGATACAAATTACGTGATTTTTTTCCCCGAAAGAGTTCACGAAAAGGTTAATCTCCGCAAGCCATGAAATCACGCACGTGTTTTTTAGTACCCACACAAGTCGAGACAATAGACATCAATTTACTGCGACTCTGTCGTGTTGACGCATTTAAGCAGCTTTTAAGTAGACAACTTTTTAACCGTTCTCAAATGCAGGCCGCAGGGGAGGGAACCACGAATACATCTTCGTTTAGTTCTCTCCCTTTGTGGGGTGCAGTTAATAGAACGATTATTGACACATTTTTTTTTCTCCGTGCTAGTAGTACTACACTGCCTCGCATTAACTTTTTCAGAGCTGTTTGTTTTATAGATTGTGTACAGTTTTATGGAGAGGAGGGTTTTTAAATTCCAGAGTGATAGCATTGCTACTATTCTATCATAACATGTCTAAATTTCTAACATTTTTTATACGTGTATTTTTTTTTTTAAATGATGTATATTTACCCCCCCCCCCCCCCCCCCCGCTTCCACACCCGTATAACTTCTCAATTAACTTCTAATTAGATTTCTGATATTTAGTTTCTTTAAAAGAGAAAAAAACTTGTCCGTTACTGCAATTTATTTTCTGAACACCGGCGATAAACCTAGTCAAATAACGTCTTCAAATAAATATTGTACAATAAAAACAAAAAACAAAATCGCTAAGAAAAATAAAATTTAAACACTATGAAAATGTATATTAATTTATATACCCATACACACATTAGTTATATTATATATAGGCCTATATATAAATGGTTATAAATATACATATAATATACTTTTCTATATGCTGGTGTGTGCTATACAAAACTACTGTCTACTAGGAACAGAAACGTGTGTTATTTAGTCAAAATGTCAGGGGTCAAACAGCAGTACACTCGTGAAAACAAAACAAAAATAAACCTACGGGTCTGTTCCTTACAATTTTAAAATCGATCTCTCAACGATTAAGTTACCCGAAAGAGAAACTTGAAGAAAAAGAGACAGTGAGAGAGAGCCAGAAAAAAAATCGCTACCGATATTACCGCGTTACCATAGCAGCCGAAAGTTTTGTCTGGTAATTATTTGATTTTCTTGATGTTTTATTTGGGCTATAAATCCCAAGGACGAGAGGGAGGCAGATAAGAGGGCAGATAACAGAGGCGGATCAGAGCGACGGATAGGAGTGGTTGACTGACAGAATCAGAGTTTCTTTCAGGCATCCCTTCAGGGGAATGAGATGTTCTTCGGGGCTTAGCCCCCCTCCCCCTCCCCAAACGAAATAGAATTTGTATAGAAAATATATACTTTTACCAGTATCTGCCCCCTAACAAAATTGAGTCCGCCCCCCCCCACCCCACCAGAGAAAAAAGTCTGAAAGAAACACTGCACAGAATAACATGTAATAACACAAATAAATGGCATTACATTTACAAAGTTACATTTTTCTGTCTACATTTCGACTGCAAAACTATATATATATATATATATATATATATATATATATATATATATATATATATATATATATATATGTGTGTGTATGTATGTATGTATGTATGTATTTATATCGATATTTTGAAATGAAAAAAATACAAACACATCAATTTTAGGACAAAAAATAAACTTAACATGCATGCGAGACTCTTATTTGAATTCTAATTCGGCTTTAATTAACATGTTTATTTTTTTCCCCCCAGAATGCATGTGACGAAAGAAATAATTGCAGCATAGTGGTGATTATTGAGTCACGTGGGGGGAAAACCGGAAACGAATGAGCAGAATTGATGTTCTTTGAATTGATGGTCTCTGCCATATTTTAGGCAGGAAAAAAAACTGCAACGTCAGAAATAAAAAATTTGGTCGGAAGTTGTACAAAACTGGCCAGAACAGCTTGCCAAGTTTCCTTTTCTCTGCATATCAGTAAATAATCTGCATCTGGAGGGAGAGAATCCATACAGAGGAGAAAGGCGGTGTAACTCAGAAAGGAAGTTCTGCATATTGACGAAAATTGCAGACTACCATACTGAAATTTATTCAAATTGATATTTTCTGCTCTCCGAACTTGGAGACGATGATGTAAAGGGAGGCAAAAAGAGCTAAAAAATACAATTATAGCCCTTTATTTTATAACAAAAAATCAAATTTCATTGGATTATATTTATTGATTACAAATGGAGTAAAGTAAGAAAGACTACTTCAGAGTTTAAACGTGTTGATTACATAAAACAAGAACACAAAGCTTTCCAGCATGTTGGATTTCATTACCTTCAGATAAGAAAACAGAAAAAAAACAATAACAGACTTATTTTAACAACAAAATAACCAACAGAGACCCAGCTGTGGGGGTCTCAGATCAGGTCCCGTACCGGTGCCCACCCCAACCGCCACAATTCAGGCGCCCGACCCCACAGACCCCATCTCTTATTTTCAGTATCTTTTCGTCTCCATTTCCGCAAAGTGCGCCGCTACCCTCCCCATCGCCAAAATTTCGTTCTCAAACTTCAAAGATTCCTTCGGGTCCGGGATGAATTTCCTGCGACGCCGGTTCTCGTCCGGGGACCTCCAGGGCGAGGCCAACGAGAAGGAGGAGCCCCCGCATGTGGGGCCCCTCAACTTCAAGAAGGGCCCCAGCCCCAGCGCGCCCAACTCCCCGTCCAAGAGTTCGAGCGCGGCCAACATCGGACAAAGGTTCTTCTCCTCCACGGCCAAGCCGGCCATCAACAAGGACAGGTGTAAGACGCTGTTGGTCATCGATGATGAGCACACGGACTGGTGAGTTGATCTCTGTTGTTTTAATTTTTTTTTAGACGTGATTCACTATCTTGTGTTGTCGGCTGATCTCTTTAGTTATGATTTTACCACCATTGTGGTGAGTTGATCTAATGTTGTTGTTTTGTTGTTAGACGTGATTCATTACCTTTGTTGACAGTTGATCTTTATGTTTCATGACTTCACCGCCATTGTTATGAGTTGGTCTCTTTGTTTTCTGATTACATCATCCCTGAGGTGAGTTGATCTCTGCTACTTTTTTTAAGACACGATTCACTACCTTGTGTGGACGGTTGATCTCTTTTGTTATGATTTTACCACCATTGTTATGAGTTGATCTCTTTGTTTTCTGATTTTCATCCCTGAGGTGAGTTGATCTCTGTTGTTTATTTAAAGACATGATTCACTACATCATGTTGTCAGTTGATCTCTGTGTTTTATCATTTCATCACCAAATGTGGTGAGTTGATCTCTATGATTCATAACCTCACAGCAACTGAGGTGAATTGACCTCTTTGTTTTGTTATTTCACCGCCACTTTGGAGAGTTGACCTCTTTGTATTTTTCATGATACACTTTCATGTTTAGTGAGTTGATTTCGTCTCTTTGTGACTATAGTGCTAGAAGAGTTCGAATCTGAGACGGGAAATCCTTAGATTTATCGGTATGGTGTGGTCTAAGGATAGTAACTTTGACTACTAATGCGAAAGTCTTGTCCGTCGATCTCTGAGACGTACTGAAGTCGAGTTGGTGTGAGTAAAATCGGCTGGATACAGTGCTGATCACAGAAACCCTTCATACGCCGTGGTCAAAGTAACAGATGAACTCTACTGTACCTGCATTATAGACAAACTGTTACCGCTTGAAGAAATCAGCCCAAGTTTAAATCTGAACCTTAACGTTAAACTCATCACATGTCTCTTAAACTAACCCTTACTCTTAAAGAAAAAAAAATCTAATTTCAAAGCCCTATATGTTAGCTTCAACCTCACCACCCCCCCCCCCCACACACACACACACACCACCCCTTCCTACATACAGTACTGAACTCAACATCTTTTTTAAAATTCAAATATTATTCTTGCCCAATCACCGCCTAATAAAGAATCTGTTCAGAGCTAGACTCGTTGTTCTCTAATAAAACGGGGAAAGCGAAAATCAATTCCTTCAATGGTCTATTTAGATCTCGCACGCCATTTACTGGTTTTCTAATGGAGTTTTCTAATTGACGTCTTCCCCTTTTCTCTAAAAAAAACAACAACAAAACAACTATGAATGCAATTTTTCAATGGAACAAATTAAAGTCTCGTTAGACAAAAGTCTGATTTTGTCTAAACGAAGAAATTAGATTTCAAATAAAGAAATTAATTTAAATATAATTCACTTTTCATTATTTTGGAGCTGTTTAATTTTATTTTTCAAAAGACTTAATTTGTGTCCAAGAAACATCAGAATTTATAATGAAACTAATATAAAACTGCCCGGAATTTCCCAAGATAGTTTACTTGCATGCTGACTAGTATGCCTACTTTTAAAAAAAAGTTTTAATATAAAGGACTCATGGGATTTTTTGCTTTTAAAATTTTTCTAATAACCGAAAGGAAACGTGAAAAAAAACCGAGTTGATCAATACGAACTGGTTGGTTTCCAGCAAATCATTTTTTTTTTCTTCTCCTTTCCTTACAAATGCCCAACATCCCCCCAGGCAGAACACTACTGAAAAATCTGGCCAGTATTCAAGAACGACAAAAAAAAAAGATAACTTACTTCTTTACCAGCTATGAATTATGGGAAATGATGTAATCAACGTTATAAATTAAATAATGATTGAGTTTAACGTTTTAAAAAATATATTCCTTTTCTGCAACTTCATGGATTATATTGTGTACGTAAGATTCCTGAAGACTTAATGAAAATGGTGCCAGACGTTATTGATGGCTGAGAAATGAAGGGGAAGACTCGTCCCGTCCCCTGTCCCTGGTTACGATCTCCCCCCCCCCCCATCATCTAGTGCAAGTCGAATCGATAGACCATTTCACATCAGAGTTATCTAACACAAGGCGCCTCACACTTGTATCACTTTCTACCCTCAACATCAGCTATTTTTTTACTTTCTTCTCTGATTTAAAAGTATAGTACAACATTTATTGCTCTTCTTCTTTCTCTTCTTCGTTGTACAATTAGTTGGGATTTCTGCAAACCTATTAAGCATTCTGTGTCAGAAATGTATGGTCAGTTGGCTCCGATTTCAGCCTGCTTTTATTTCTGGATTTGCTTTCATAGCTTTTGTCCATCAAACTACAAGGCAGCATTTGTTTGATTTTAGAGTTTTCTCTCCCAGATGAGTTGCTTTCTCCAGCTAATATATGCGCCTCATCTGCCTGTGATCTCGGGACTTTCATGTTTGCAATAGTGCTCTCTCCCACCATATCCAGTCGTCAACATGGCATTTCAAAAGAAAAGCATAATCTGCCCCCCCCCCCTCTTTCCCCAGATATTGATACCACTCACGTTTCGGGCTCACAATGCATATTTGGGGAAGCGCTGTATATTTTTAAGCTGACAGGATCGAATACAGCCCATGTAAGTGAATACTTAAAATAACAATTGGAATGTATAGTATGTATACACCCGCAAACGTAATATGGCGATTGTAATGTACATTTATTTTTCTCAAATAGCCTACAACATTAGCTTACAAATGTTGAAGGTGTAGCTCAATATTACTACGACAGTTTTCTATTTGACTTTAAACCCCTTTTGATTTTCCCCTAGCGCACGAGGTAAAAAAAATTTATGTATGTAAACCTCAATCCTTTAATAGTAGCGACAACAAGCTTTTGTCGTCATAAAATCGTTTGAACCTCAGGGTTCGAACATAATGCCTTTAATTATTTTAATAGAGAGCGTTCGTATCCCGATTCTGGAAAACCTGCGTCAATCACCAGTTCGGTGACACACTGTAAAGGGTACGCACCAAACTGATCGGGAAAACACTTGTGCAACCAGCTGCGTCACTAGTTTAGGTGTCACCCGGTGCAACCGCCTTGTGACGTCACTGTGTGTCACCCTTACCTGCATCTTCACTGCGCCAGGTGGGATGCCGGAAACACACCTTGAAATACCTGGAAGAGAGGACTTGTCTTGGTGTTCATGGAACAAAAATGTCGATGCTATTCTTGAATTAAAACTCCTTAACATTGGGGTATACGAACTTAGTGCTTACCATCTGTTATGTTTTAGTTTGTAGACTAAAGTCACCTTCGACACTTGTTAAAAGCAATTAATTATTATTCCTATCCCCTCCCCCAACCCCAAATTGACAGTCCCGTCAATCACCAACACATTTAATACCAAACCCCGACAAAATGTGTTGCTAAATTCCCCTTAAGATCAAGAGTTATTCACTAAAGAACAAATTACGGAACTGAAAAAATCCGCTAGCCGGGAGTGATGGAGATTTTCTCACCGGTATAGTGATCGATCTACGCTTCAAGCCGTGATAAAATATTCCGGGGAAAAATGTTGGGCTACACCGGAACTGTTAAGAATATAATTTTTCAAGGATATTTTGATTTTTGTTTGATTCAAAAGTTCTGATGGACGTACTGGCCCTGTTTAAGTTTGGTAATTTTAAGTTTTAGTGAGCAAAAGATAAGAAAATTTTTAAGACTAATCAGCATATGCTGTTTTTTTTACAAAATTAAAATTAAATCTTTTTGCACAAATTAAAAGCAAGAGAAAAATAAAAGACCGCAACACTGGACCACAACATTGGACCACAACACTGGACCACAGCATTGGACCACAACACTAGACTACAACACTAGATCACAACACTAGACCACAACATTAGACCACAACACTAGACCACAACACTAGACTACAACACTAGATCACAACACTAGACCACACCATTAGACCACAACACTAGAACACAACACTGGACCACAATACTAGACCACAATACTAGACCACAATACTAGACCACAACACCAGACCACAACACCAGACCACAACACCAGACCACAACACCAGACCACAACACTAGACCACAGCATTGGACCACAGCATTGGACCACAACACTAGACTACAACACTAGATCACAACACTAGACCACAACATTAGACCACAACACTAGACCACAACACTAGACCACAAAACTACAACATTGGACTACAACACTAGATCACAATACTAAACCACAACACTAGACCACAACACTAGACCACAACACTAGACTACAACACTAGACCACAACACTAGACCACAACACTAGACTATAACACTAGACCACAACACTAGACTACAACACTAGACCACAACACTAGACCACAACACTAGACTATAACACTAGACCACAACACTAGACCACAACACTAGACCATAACACTAGATCACAACACTAGACCACAACACTAGACTACAACACTAGACCACAACACTAGACCACAACACCAGACCACAACACTAGACCACAACACTAGACCACAACACTAGACCACAACATTAGACTACAACACTAGACCACAACACTAGACCACAACACTAGACCACAACACTAGACCACAACATTAGACTACAACACTAGACCACAACACTAGACCACAACACTAGACCACAACACTAGACCACAACATTATACTACAACATTAGACTACAACACTAGACCACAACACTAGACCACAACATTGGACCACTACACAAGACCACAACACCGTCCGACTTCATTAAATGTCTCAATCATCTAGGAAGAACATAACATTGACATTTCTGTCTGTTTGATAGGGGTTCAAGGTACAGGGTGCTTAACTTTACACCTACAACAGTGGTTCTTAACTTGGGTTAGATCGAACCCCAGGGATTTCGGCGAGTCAGTCTCAAGGGTTCGACGAACGTCTAGACACACATCCGACTACTATGGTTCACGATCAGATTTAGTCAGTGCGGACATTAGAACTATTAAGTACGGTTCGGTGAATGCGCTTATTAAACTAGTGGG